AATATTTTGGCAAAAGTTTTACTCGCGTAGAAAAGTTCATAAAAGTAAACTCTATGCATATCCTTAACAGCGATTGCAAATTGTTTGGCAAATGAATAGGTCGGACATTTGAGGGCCAAATCACCCACGAGATCGGAAAATGCAAATCTCAGGTATAGGGGTTTACTTGTGTTCACATTTTTAAGATAATAATCGGACACTTTTTGGGTATCAATTCCGTGATATACGGCGTCCAATCCTTTAACACCTGTCGTGAAGTCCTGAAGTGTCATATTATTTATGTCTTTAATGAATCCATTGATAAACATCGAGCCCTCGTCCCGATTGATACCCGCCATGAGATCGATATCTAAATTAAGGGATCATTTATATAATTTAGTATATCATAACTGACTGTATGTGGTGTCAAACCTGAATTAAACTTTTTTGTCTCAAATGCTTTTTGTGCAGAAATGGGCAGAAACTCAGTGCCCAACACTGGATAAGTCGGGTTTCGGGAATACTTTGACAACTCGTTTGCGTCCACTTTTCGCAAACACTGCAACCAATCCTCAGTTTCACTACAATTCAGTTGTTTTGCTATTTGTTTGGCTCGGGAGAGGGCCTCGGCTTTACTGACAACATCATTGTCCTTGTTATACAAATGGGCCCCACTTTGCATAATAGCCCTCTTATACAACCCTTTTGATAGGGGCGACAGTATGTGCGCCGATACGGACCAACTGCCGGCGCTCTCACCAAATATAGTGATCTGATCGCTGTCTCCACCGAATTGATGAATGTTTTCTTTGACCTATAATTTAATGATTACTTTATTAATAAAAATATAAAATGTTATCAAAATCACAAATAATTTTATACCCATTTAAGGGCCAATAACTGGTCATAAAAGCCCACATTTCCGGGTGCGTCCTCCCGATCCCCGTATAAGTACCCAAATTGACCCAATCTATAATTGGTGGACACTATCACTAAATCGCGAGTAGCCAGTACACTTCCATCATAAATGTCCTGAAATATTGATCCCAACACGAGAGCCCCTCCATGTATCCAAAACATAACCGGTTTTAACTCATTGGACGCACTACTGGGTGACCATATGTTTAGTACCAAACAGTCTTCACTTGCATTTAATCCAGGTATATTTATTGGTTGTATACACCAATTCTTAGGCTTTGTTGCATCAATTATGTCCTTGATAATGTTTTAACATTTATTATTTTATATTATTAATTATTTGTAATTTAATTACTACTTACGGGGTATGGCTTTTGAATGGGTTGTGGTTTTGCAAACCTGAGGTTTCCGAGTGGCGGTACAGCATATGGTATGCCTAAAAACTGGTCTACATCCTTGTCTAGTACCTGAACTACCTGTCCTCTTACTACGCCGGATGTAGTATTGACATCTACACAATCTACAATTTTATATTGAAATACAGTTATTGTAATTAGAGTAACAATTATATTGTATTTGTTAAACATTTTGTTTTAAAAATGTTTTATACTTTACTAAAACAATTAAACCCTTTAATATTATATTTGGTATAAATGAGTCGTGGCTTTTATTTATACAATTTTTGAAACCTTATATAAACACTTCAAATTATCAATTATTTTCTTAAGTGTTAATTAGTGATATTGTATTATTTTATATACTGTTGATATGCCGGGTATAAAGTTTTTTTTTGTAATTTAGTGCAACTCAATTATTTGCACTATTATATACACGCACCCAGCTGCACTACAGATAGACTAATAGTTACACAGCTGAATTAAGGTTCATGTTACTCAAATTAGTATTTTGCTTTATAGCACCAGATACAGTTTAGTAAATTAGTAAAATAAATAAATAATTTCAATAATAAGTTGTTGAATAAGATATTTTTAAATTAGAGTATTTAGAAAATTAATATAATTTATAAATTACTTATTTGCTGATGTCCAAATATCATGATTATTAATTTGGAAAACAACAATGAAGTTACCAATAATAGCGAGTACATTTTATTTAGTATTATATTTATTTAGTTAAAATTATGATAAAAATACATGTATAATATTTTGGTTAATTTATTTGCCAAATAAATATAATTGTTGCTTCTAACTAATGTCATTAATTTATTTAATATAATTAGCAATATTGAATACAATAATATTTTTATATGCCACATTGAAAATTAATATTAAACAGCTTGCTTTATTTATATTTTAAGTTTAATAATTCATTATCCATATAACCTATTCTATCAAAACCTTTGTATTTTCAAAATAATATAATTCGTTTTACAATATGGATATGCTATTATAATAAGTTAATAGTTGTATTTACTTTTGTTTTTATTTTCTAATTATATAAAATTATCATAAACAAACAATTAAAATAATTGATCATTGTCACTATCTATACATAATAATGACCCCAAACACCATCACAGGTGTCGTGAAAGGGGTCGTTCTCTACCAGCGATATATTCAACGGATCCAAACCCTTCACAATTGGCACTACATTTAGCTCGTGGTTCAGTAGTTGAGGCCAATCCTGGTCCTCATATCTGAAGATTAATACAAAATCATAAATTTCATTTATTAACAGTTTTTAATCAAAATTATAAATAGAAAAGTAAACACTATAATTTTATAATTAATAAACTTTACTTTTTCTTATTTATTAAATATTTATATTTTAACAAATATACCTTTATATTTATATAAGTGTGTCAATTGTTTACTACAAATATATTTACCCAGTTTTGGCAAATTTAGTCCACATATCCATCACACGTTTACTCAAATCCACGTCTTTGGGTAAATAACCAGGTCTAATGAATGGCAGTCCAAACACAAATGGTATGTCCATTCCGTG